TACTTTATCTTTCAAAAACTTTAGAAGTTAACAATACCAAGCACTGGTGCTAGAAAAATAGGAATTTTCCTACGCTGCTGGTGGGACTGCAAATTGGTACACTGGAGAACAACTTGGCAAAACCTAGTAATGCTGACTATGGGCTGTCCGTTGGCCTAGCAATTCCGCTTTTAGGTATTAATATATAGCTTGGAAAAACCTCCACGCATTTGCATGAGGAAACCTATACAAGTATATTTATGACAATATTGTAACGCTGTAATTAGAAGAATGGATAAATTGTGGCATATTGATACTGTGCAATACTGAGCAGCAATTTTAAATGAATAAACTGGATCGATACGTATCTTCATTTTTAAGAACCAGAAGAATGCAGGGTTAACAGACTCTGGGGCCAGACTGCCTGGGTCTGAGTTCTGGCTTTCGTACTTACTAAATTTGCAACGTGTGTACATTATTTAGTGTCTCTGTGCCTCAATACCTAACTCATGGGGTTGTCATAGTGCTTAGATTGATGCCTGGCACAGAGTAAGCGCTAAGTGTAATGCACAATCATGCAGAATGAGAACCACAGTCTAATGCTACTTTAAAGACATGCGTGAGATGGCTATGCATCAGCGTAAGGATGGCAGTTGGGGAAGGAGGAGCGGGCATAGGATTGGGGAAATCTACAAAGGGAGCTTCAAGTGTATTTCTTTAAAACATTTGCTCTTTAAGAAATGAGGCTGAAAGAAATATTGCAAGATGTTAACAAGTATTAAATGTGGGCAGTGGGTAAACAGGTATTTATTATTACATAATCTGTGAACTTTTGTGTATGTCTGAAGTATTTCAAAGAATACCATTTTATTAAAACTTTTAAAAAATCCAAAAATTTTAAAAAATGGGGAAGGCAAAAAGCAATGGAGGACTTACCCCAGCTCGTCTCATGACATCCACAGGGATCACTGTCTCCATTTCCTCTGCTCCTTTAGCCAGGATGACCAGGGCTCTTTTGGAGGCCATTTTTATGTTATATTTCTTAAAGAGTTAAAAAAAGGGGGGGGGGGGTTTAAAAAAACTTTCACTGCAACCCTGGAATACTCAAAATTTTTAAGTTTAGGAACATTTTCAAACAGAGTAACTAAGTACCTCGGAGGGAAAAGGCTCTGATAGACAAACACAACTGATAATGAAGAAAAGCAATTTAGATTAATATTGGTTTACACAGTAGAGTTTCAACTGCCCTATTTCTGAGATGAAAACACAGGTTGCTCACAGCTTCTACCATGTTATCTTAAATCCAATTTCTAATAATACATCACAAATGAAGTTTTCTAAAACACAAGTACATGGGTCTTGCCTTTCACACAATAGGAGGAAATACAGTATTTTTTGAAGTACTATTTCAGAGAAACGAAAAAACTGAATTTCATGGGCATTAATTTAAACAGTTTTTGGCAATTAGCCTGTTAAGAGTTTTGGAGGGGATTTTTATTTTTTTTAGTTCCAATAACTGTACTAAAGACTGGAGGGGGGAGGTGTTAAATATCTGAATACTTTTTTTATGATCGGGAAAGATGGAAAACCCCACTGAAGTCAACCCAACTAAATTCTATCGGTCCACGAAGTTCTCTCGTTGTAAACAGCAGCAGCTAAACGAGGTACTCGGGCTTTTTAAGCCTATTTTTCTGGAGAGTTCGCCGTCCGTGCAAAACAGACTTTATAATAAAGTGATCTCAACACGGACAAGTTAACTAGTTCCAAGCAGGTGAAAACTTATCCAAAAAATCTTGGGACGCTTTAGCGTTGCTACTAGACTGGCAGCCAAAAACTGCAGTATCTACTAATGGCAGAACGCCGCGCGTTTCTCAAACGCACAGGCGCCCGGCGGGGTCCGACCAGGCGCCAGAACCCGACTGGGCCTCGCCGCCTCCGGCTCAGGCCCCGCACCTGGGATGGGCGCAGCGCTCCCAGCGCCCCCAGCCGCCCGCAGCGCCGCGCTCCCCGCGGGCCCTGACCTATACCCCGCACCTCTCCCTACAGACGCAGCGCCTCGGCCCGACGGGAACCACTCACCCCGACCCACACAGAAGGGGGTCGCACGTTCCCACGCACGCGCGCCGCCCGGCCCCTCAGCCGCGCACTGCGCAGACTCGCGCTGCTCGCGTCACGCTGCGTCACGTCCGGCGGAGCCCATTCCGGATCCCGGCTGGGGGTGGGGCCTTTCTCCGGCCGCCCGCTGGGTTTAACCCTCTCTCTGCCACAGCCCGGTGGCGCGAAGCTGATCTCTGGAACGGCCGTGGCTTGTCTGAGCTGAGCGTATTTATAAACTAGAGCCTTCCTTCACGTTTCTTGTGAGCACTCCCGTCTCCCTTTCCCTTGTTCCTCTTATCCCGAACGCCGTCCCGTTTCGCCCCCGATCTGTTGGGATTCTTTTCCGGGTCCTGGCGACTGTGTCGGGCATTTATTCACGCACGGTAATTTCTCGGGCATTACGATGCTATTTTAAGGTCCTGCTGCTGCACCCACAGGATGACAGCAACGCTGAGCACACAAGTCTAATAAGTAATTGGTTAAGTTGGTTTACAGCATAATCTCAAATTTTTTTCCCCACCGCTATACTAACGAGGAAATACTCTCAAATTTTTAAAAACGTTTGTTAAATATTAATACTTTTACCAGTTTCAAAAATCAAAACGGTAAGGGTTACATTGAACAGATATGCCCCCATCCAGTCCTATTCCCACCCCCTGCAGGTAACAACGTTATTGGTTTCTTGTGCGTCCTTCCAGTGTTTCCTTATGCAAGCACAAGCAAATACAAGTATATACTATTAATATTTATTTTCCCTCTTTTTCTCACAAAAATGTAGTAGACTATATACATTGTTCTGCACTTCCCCCACCTACCTACACACACTTAAGTGAATATCTTGGGAGATATTTCCCTGTCAAAAAGAACTACCTCATTTTATTTATTCTTCAGATAGGTAGTATACCATCCTGGACATGTTTCGTAGTTTATTTGCTGGTGCCCCGCTGATAACACAAGTTACTTCCAATCATTTTCTATAGAGAGCACTGCATTGAATAACCTTCTACATATGTCCTACTTGTGCAAGTATAACCGGCGAGGAAATTCCCAGAAGTGGGAAATACATCTGAGCAATGCCATACAAGTTGAGCCATTTAGCACTCTCACCAGTAATGCATGAGATCAAACTGTATTTTAAATACATCAATGTTTTTAAGGTTTCAATTTAGATATTAAAATCACATTTATTTTCAAGAAATAACATTTTATTTTTCTTTATTAGTTTACAAGGCACTAAATGATGGTGAGTATTTTGTATTTATTTTGTAAAATTGCAAAGAGTCATTTATGCAACATTCTGCACTTGCGCAAAAGTTTGAAATAAATGTCTTTAATCATTTGATATTTTAAGAAGAAACTTTTTAGGAGTTCTGAAATGATTTCACCTCTGGCTATTTGCAAAGGAAGCAAGCAAAAGCCACCCCCTTTCAGCTTCCTAGGAGTGTGGAAAATAGGAATGACAGAGGAGGCAAGTGGTCAGATGTGTGCTTGCAGATCCACAGAGGGATTTAGGTAGATGGAAGGAAAACCAAAAGAAGGCATGCTGCTTTGCTCCAGTTCCTGTAGTAAACTTTTAAAAGGAGACAACTGTGCTGGTGGTCTACAGGATGGGACAGCCGTGACAGAGTAAAAATGGCAAAATAGATGGTTCAACAATGAGAGAGAGAGAATAAACCAGAGTTCACACTCCTGAGATACCTGCATTACCATCAAGCTCTGAAATGGGTATTAATTTTTATCCAACTAATACATTGCATACAGTTTCTTTAAAACTCAGATACCATTTATGGTAGATTGGATTATTTTTCAGAAATAGTCTTTCACCTTACACCAGCATGGGCAGAGTGTACTTCCTGTCCCTTGATTTTGGGTTTGGCCTTGTTTCGGCCAGTGGAATGTTAACAGATGACTGATCAAAGCCTTAAAAAGTACTGACCTGAGGATTAGGCTGTGCTCTTGTGCTTTTGGATTGCCATAGGAAGAACTTTCACCCAGAGAAGTGCTGTTGTCCCCTCCACCTGGGTTTCAGAATGAGGACATGTGGAACAGAGCTGCCCCAGCCAACCTGCACAACTAACAACCTGAAGCAATCACCACAGCCAAATGGAGACTGTAGCAGTCAGGTTTTGCTCCATAGCATTAGCTAACTGATGCAGCACCAGCCCTGACGCAGTCCTTCCTACCCCTCAGCCCTGCTCTTCAGAAGCAAATATTGTCAACTCTTTAAATTATTTCTTCTGGTAATTATCTCAGTATTTTTAAGCAGTATGCTAATATTTTCTTTCTCATTTATTGGCTTTAGACATTATATATTGACTTCTTAGCAAATATTATAATTTTCATTCCACAGATGTGAACATTGAGGTCCAGAAGGGTGAAATGACTGTAAAACGTCCTGCAGTCTTGGTCAAATTCAGATATTCTAATGCCAAATTTCACACTCTACCCACCATATATACTCTGTCAGTATTACTTAATAAGTCAGTAACACTCATGACACTCTTTTTATAGTTCACACATATTTCTCATCACACATTTATAGAACAAAGCCAAAAAATTAAACCATTTACCAAAAAATATTGCAATAGTACTGGCAGTGAAGACACTTCCTCATTCAGTCCCCTATTTCCTGGCAGAACAACCCCATATCATCCACTGCCTCTTAAACTCAACATTTGATAAGTCTTTATGTATTTTGAGAAATACAAACTAAAAACTCTTCCCTGTTTTCGACGAACTTGGTTTCTTGCAGCAGTTGCAACATTTAATGAAGATATATTGTTCTGCCTTGAGGCGCTTACAAGCCAATAATGGAGAAATGGTGTTGGCAATGTTAGCAACAGCCACCCAGGGAGTTACGAGCCTGGTCCTGAAACAGGATTCCCCCTCCTAATTATCCTGATCACAACAGCAAAGAAACTACTCCCAGATTACTTATTATTTTTCCATGGTAGCTCTTACATTTGGCATTTCATCTAAGTAAACACTCTAACGAATCTTTCTCTAATATCCTTTTATTTCACTGATAGCCCTTCTCATCTTAGCATTTTCTTGTCTTTTGTTTACTTACTGTCTTGTCTACCCCCTAGTCCTATGAACTCCACGAGGTGACTTTGGTCTTGATCACTGCTGAATCCCCAGCATCTATTATAGTTCCTGGCATACAGCAAGTGCTCAATAACTACTTGCTGAGGAAGCATTATCCTGACTTCACCCCATGTTATTTGACAGCTTTCTTTCATTATCGCTATAGATTAATACTTTATATTTGTATAACACTATAGTTGCCAATAGCATTTCTTATTCCTATTTTAAACTTATTTCTCAAAGTCATTTCGCCAGATGAAAAATAGTGAAATGTAAAATTTCATGTGCAGTGGATATTATTTTCACCTTTCCAGCTTCACTGAAGAGCAGAAATTTAAACTGCAGTTACTGGGCATAAGAAAGGCCTTTGGGACACTAAAATGTATTTTTCAACATCCAGTAAGGGCTAGGTTCAGACCTCGTTCTAGAAAGGAGGTCCAGGAGAAACGGCGAATTTCCCCTCCCGAGCCCCTAAAAGGTTAGGTCGGCGAGAACGGAGGAGAGTGGGCGAGCCCTGACATTTGAGGCAGCGCTGGCGCAAGGGGGGAAATTCTGACACCGAGGTCTGTGAGGGGCCCCGGGAACGGCGTCGCCTCTGCTCCCACCAGTGTGAAAAGCCCCCCCAACAGGCGCCACCAAGAACAACTCCCACGGTGTACTGGACCCCGGAAATAGACCGGCTGACGCGCAGTGACGTAAGGGCCACTTCCGCCGGCCGCGGCGCGCAGTCCCGGCGACGCCCGGGATTGGCCTAGCCGGCCTGTAGTGGGCGGGGCGCGAGGGAGTGTGGCGTGAGTGCGTTCCCAGCCGCCGTGCGTGGCCCCCGGCAGGTGTGCTGCTGCTGGGCCCGGCCTGGGTGAAACTGACCCGAAAGGTCACTTCCTTTTGAGCGTCACGAGTGTGTTCCCGCAGTCCTGGAATCTCTGTGTCTCAGCTACCGCGCCGACTTCCGCGGACGTGGTTGTGGGGGCGGCCTGCTGAGTGCGAAGGGAGAGATCGACCCCTAGGCACCTGCTGGTCCAGGTTCGTCCTGATGACCGCAGCGAATGGGCTCACTCACCAAAGAACAACGACATTTAACTTGTTCCCAGTCCCGGGAGTCTTTGGTGTCTTGAGGAATCGAATCCAGTCTCCGAAGTGATTTGTTTATCACCTCGTTGGTGGCGCATTGGACAATCTGCAAAGCCCAGTAGGGAAGCAAGGCTTGTGGCTTGGGCAACGGTCTTTGTTTTTGTTTTTCTCGGGTTGTTTGCGGAAAACGCTTACTGCCATGCCCTACGTGGCGTCTTATTTCTAGAAGTGAGAGTAAGATTCGATTATTTAGAGTTTCAATCATGGGTTACCAAAAAGCTTTTAAAGTGCTTTAAAAGCTAGTATCCACATGTGGATACTAATGCTCGCCCAGAGGGTGGTGAGGACCTAGTGAGATCTTATGAAGACACCAAGCTCAAAGGAATTGAAATGTTGAGTCTCTTACTATTTTTTTCTATTGTGGTTCTTTAATCTGCTTCCATGTTCTCAGATTCCAATATTTTGGAGACATACAGAGATCCAGGAGCCAGGCCAACATTTCTCTCAATGGGCCAAGTGATCCATATTCCACCCGGTAGTACTCATTTGATTCTAGCAAAACTTTCCTGGCTGACTCCTTGCCTCTGCTCTGTACTATATCCTAGAGTTCCCTTCCTTATCTTGAGGTCCACCTGCTCTGGAGATTGTTAAACAGTGGCTACACCCAGGGTGACAGCTAGATTTTGGTGACCTTTTGCATGTCTGTAGTTCTGTGGATCTGCTGACTTGAGTGACTTCTATGTAGGGGATTAAAAGTGCAAATTTGAACATGTGGCTCGAACATCATTTCTTCCTTATCTTCCATGTTCTTACCTCTTACTACTCCATAAACCAGCTTCTGTGTTCCTAGAATATACCCTGTACTTTGCTTCCTTCATGCTTTGGCATAAGCAGTTCCCTCTTCCTGGA